GCTAACAAGTGACCTTATCCAAACCTACTGTCTACTCACCCCCTTCCTCCAGCTACATTCCCAAACGGCTCTCCAACATTGAGCCAATGCAGGTGATGGTCCAAGCGATGGGAACTGCCACCAAAACAGGGAACCACCCTCAGGTTGGGGAGAAGGAAACAAGGTCCCAGTTATCCAAATTCTTCAGAAGAGGCCTTGCCCACCTCAACTGCCTCACTTGATAGCAGCTTGTGGGTCCAACCAAACAGAACTTTAGTGCGGCCAAACGCCTGATCTCCAGTGTCTCCAATGTGTTCTCCACCTCCCAGACTGTTTTCAGTGGTGCCAGATGTGTCCAGGAGCCTGCTTTCCAGAGCTACTCCTCACTACCTTCAGGGCACCATTTGTTCCAGCCTCCACCAGAACCTCTGCCAACGTTCTTAATAACCACTGAAATTCCAGTGGCATCAGAAGACCCTCTTCTTCTACAGCCACCTCTGTCATCCATCAATCTGCCCAAACATACTCAACCATCTAAACTCTAGTGTCCATCACAAGTTAGTGTCTTGTCTTGGAGCCATTAGGGGGAAAAAACGAGGGGGTTGGGGAGATCAACTCTAAACCATGCATGGGAGAGAGAGGCCAAGGATGGGGTGCTGCTGTTTTGTGTGGGGTGAGAATAGTGGTGGTTTCTGTTTGAGAGATGTTGGGAAAAGGGAGCTCTTACCGCTCTGCTCCTTTGAGCTTCCCTTGGCTCTTTTCTCCCCAGCTCCCCAACCAGGTCTTACTTTCAACAGGCTGTTCAGGAGCCCCGGGCAAGGTTGCCTACAAGCTGCTGCACCAGCTCTTTGCCAATTATTCCAGCGCTTTGCGGCCAGCAGAGGACACAGACCGGGCTCTCAATGTCACCCTTCAGGTCACCCTCTCCCAGATCATAGACATGGTAAGGGCAAGTGATGGTGGAACACTCCGTGTCAGGATTGGAGCTCTTTTGCCCGAGAAGCCTGGTGAGAATGGGTATATTCCATCATCACCCCCAAAACGTAGAACAAAACCCTAGTTCTCCAGCGAAAGAGCTTTTGGTGCATCCATCTCTGCAATCGCTGACCACTCCTTGGTTGTGGAAGTGTCTTTGTGCAGGGGGATAGAGCCATGGCTACCAGTTTGGATGGCTGTAAAAGAGGTTAAAAACAGTCATGGAAAGGAAGGCTTCAAGGGTGCCTTTCTTCAGTCGTATCAAAAACAGAGAGCCCCTCAGTCCACCCAGCTGCATCCTGAAGACCTTTGAAGGCTACCAAACTGTCCTACTCCTCGGGAGTTGTAAAATAAGAAGAACAGCTTTAAGGCTGGTCTTGATCTAACCCAGAGTTACCTGCATGCCACTCCTGCAGATCTCAAGGCCTGACCCCTTTCTCCCTGGTAAATTCTTTCATTTTTCCCTTCTGTTCCAGGATGAGAGGAACCAAATCTTGACAGCTTACCTTTGGATCCGGCAGGTGTGGGTGGATGCTTACCTAAGCTGGGACAAGGAAGACTATGGCGGCATTGACAGCATCCAGATACCCAGCAGCTACGTCTGGAGGCCAGACATTGTCCTTTACAACAAGTGGGTTATAGAGGACTGTGGCAGAGGGGTGGAGGAGGAGCAGGAGTGGCCCTGGAAAAGTGCAGGGCCCAGTGGTGTAGAGGGCAGCATCCGAGACCGGGCAGGGAGATTCCCACTGAGCCATGGGGTCCTTGGGTGAGTCATCCTGTCCCGTACAGGTTGCAGTGAGGATAATATGTTCCATAGGATATTTGCCATATTTATCAGCCCTGAGCAAAAGCACCTTGAAGGAAGGCGAGATCCAAATGAAATAAATAAGTAAAATTAAATCCACGGGGTCAGGTGCAGGGAAATATGCAGAGAAGGAAAGGACCGTTTCGGAAATTGGGAGTCGGTGTAAGACATAGAAGGGCCCAACAGCACCTTGACATAGAGATGGGAGGGCAGGGGGTGGGCAAACGGGTGGGTGGAAGCAGTGACTGCATCTGGGAAATCCTCATTGGTGTAAAGAACCCTGGTCTTGAAAAAGCCAGGACTTCTGGCTCCTACATTTTCCAGAATCCCCAAACGTCTAGTAGTTTTCCAATGAATAATTTCTTTGGACAAATCCGAAGTCCCTGCTGGATTTGTCAGTTATTTTCTGTGTGAAGCCAAACCCTACTTACAAATGAAATCTTCAGAGGAGGAACAGCTGAGGGCATGGGGTCAGCTCCTGGGCTTTCGTGTGTTCTCTAGGCTCCAGAAATCCCTTTTGCTCATGAGCTCTCTCGTGAGGTGCATGGCCAGACCCACCTGCTTCTTCCCCCAGATTGCCGGGAGGGAAGACCATCTGCCAACCGGGTGACCCTGGTCTCCACACCCAATTGCTCTGTTTCTTTTGGCTACATTTTAGGGCAGGGTGATTTCGCAGACAGCGCTGGCTCATAAGTAGCAGCTCCTATAAGCAAGAGATAGGGTCAGCTTCCATGATGGTTGTCCGGGAGATTGGTGGGCCACTCGAATTTTCCACTGGAAGCTGTTTCTGGAAGCCCAGCTGATGCAGAATGGGCAAGAGGAGGGCCATGGTCTCTGGCCCAGCCTGATCCCTGTGCTCTCCTTGCCTCCCAAGTGCCGATGACCAGTTCACCACCTCCATGGAGACCAATGTGGTGATCCGCTGTGATGGGCAGATCATGTGGGACTCCCCAGCCATTACCAAGAGCTCCTGCAAGGTGGACGTCTCGTATTTCCCCTTTGATGCGCAGCAGTGCCGCCTGACCTTTGGCTCCTGGACCTACAATGGCAACCAAATCGACCTTCTCAACAAGCAGGCAATGGGTGATCTGACAGACTTTGTGGAGAATGTGGAGTGGGAAGTGCTGGGAATGCCTGCCAAGAGGAATGTGATCACCTATGGCTGCTGCTCGGAGCCTTATCCAGATGTTACTTACACACTGCTGCTCAGACGGCGGGCCTCCTTCTACGTCTTCAATCTTCTGCTGCCCTGCATCATGATCTCCTTCCTGGCCCCACTGGGCTTCTACCTTCCAGCCGACTCGGGCGAGAAGGTTTCCCTGGGGGTGACCGTTCTTCTGGCCCTGACGGTCTTCCAACTGCTGGTGGCTGAAAGCATGCCACCTTCTGAGAATGTGCCGCTGATTGGTGAGTAGGCCCTCTGGATTACTAGATCCCACTCCTACTCCCACCCACCCCATTGCCACTCAGAAACACATGCTAACCTGGAAATCCATTGGCCCCACCAAGGGTTTGTCAGAAGCCCTCACAGACTCAGATGACCAAAAGTGGAGGGTCTCACTTCTGCCCTCATGGCTAATTCCCTTAACAGACTGAGGGTTTGTTTGAACAAGCAATAAGCCAGGGGTGGCAGTAGCCACGGGGAATGACCCTCACTGTCTGGGATGCAGCAATGGCGACATAGTGAGCTGACTGCCTTAACCTTCCATGGGTGGCCAAGAAGCAGATAGGTTGCCTGTTTCTGGACCTGCGACTCCCCCCCAACCTACTGCTCTCCAGATGGTTTTGGACCATTTTCCTCCGGGTGATAGGCTGGGAAGCTCAGCTCCGACTCTTTTGGAAGGTGTCAGGATGGGGAACTTGGGCTTATGTGACAGAAGAGAATCTGTTTGCTTGTGTGCCTCATCTGGTCCCCCATCCTCCCTCCAGGGAAGTACTACATTGCCACCATGACGATGATCACTGCCTCTACTGCCCTGACCATCTTCATCATGAACATCCACCATTGCGGCCCCGGGGCAAGGCCCGTCCCCAGGTGGGCCCGGAAGGTCATCCTGCAGCATATGGCCCGCATCTTCTTCGTCTACGAAGTTGGTGACAGCTGCAAGAACCCACCGCAGGAGCTGGACCCGCTCCCTCAAGTCCAGAGGGCCAACGGTGAGGAACCCACGGGCAGGGGGCCCTCTCCTTGGGAGACCCCGCAGCTCCAGGGGCTTGGCAGCATCCCCAGGCGGCCTGCTGGCCAGGAGGTGGAGCCGGAGGGGCAGCGCTCCTGCCCCAGAATGAAGTGCTGGTGCCACCAGGAGAGCATTCTTCAGAACGTGGACTACATCGCCAACTGCTTCCGAGACCAGAAGGCGCTTTCCAGGCGGGTGGGGGAGTGGAAGAAAGTGGCCAAAGTCATGGACCGCTTCTTCATGTGGACTTTCTTTGCCATGGTGTTCATTATGAGCGCCCTGATCATGGGCCAAGCTGTGTGATGCAAAGCGCACTCGGTGCAGCTGGGGAAGGCGAGAGAGGGTTGTGGGCGTGGGCATGTATGTGTGAGTGGGTGGGTGGGCGGCTGGGCCACAGCCTTGCAGCAGTTCACCCAGCCTGGCCAATTAATTGCACAAGCCCTCCTGGCTGTTGTTTGGAGGTTTAGGGGCAAAGCAACCATGGTTAGTTGAAGTGAGCCCCAATATCCCCTTGGGTGCAGGGTGCAGATACGTGGAACTGCAGAGCATCTTTGCTCAGTGATTGGTGGCATCCAACTTCAGCTCCTGCACATGGCTGGTTCCAGCCAGCTAGAGATGGTAGCCACACAAAGAATCCCTGCCCACCGCTCAGTTCCTTTGGCAGCTGGCTGAGGAGACGCGGGAAGGAATGCCCGCCTGGCATGGGTGAACGTGTCTCCGCCCGGTACCCACAGCCCCTGCTCCACAAGCATTCTGGACCTTGCCTTGGGCCATGTCTCCCAAAGGAAGCGCCTCTGCCTTGCATGATCAGACTCTGGGACAGTGCGCCACTCCTGTGTGCGGTGTGTGTGCAGGGCCTCCTCCCTCTGTGGGCACTTAAGCAACGTCAGCTGGGTTGGGGCTTACCCCGAGCATCCAGGTGGCTTTGAAACAGCTGAATGGAGCCAGGAGTCCACCTGGAAGCTGGCTGGAGGTCTCTCAGGCGCTGTGGGAGGAATCAGGCGGGTGGTGGGTCTGCCCTGGGGCCCTTCTGGGTCAAGGAATGAATGCTTTGCCTCCTGGGATCAGACCTTTGCCGACGGTGGGATGAGGCAGGCTCGTTTTGGGGGAAAGGAGCAAGTTAAAGAGGAGCAACAACCAGAACGAGCCCATCGCCCAAGAGGGCTTTGGACCAGTAGCTCCGATCTCAGAGCTGCATGGGCCAAGATTAAACGGCAGTGGGGAAAGAGAGAGCAAAGGTGTGATAGAAACAAAATAATTATTATCCCACTCCCTGAGTTGGAATTGCAAAAGGATGCCTTGCATTTCTTTTCTGCAAATGAGGAAATAAATGTAATTTTAGTCCTCTCACTGAGTTCCTTCCTGGAGGGAACAGATGTTGGAGTGGCATAATCCCTGGTGTGTGTTGGGGGGGCCGGCAGGGGCACATGCTGAGCGGCACAGCCCAGCATTCCTCACTTGCACGGAGCAGTTGCACAGCAGAGGACAGGCCGGACCCCAGTTAGATCGAGGGAGCAGGGGGGTCACAAGAACCGACAAGAAGCCAGCCTGGGATCTGCCCCTCGCAGCCCTTGTTCTGGGTGCAGCCGTTCCACCTGGAAGAGGTCAGCCGCCAGGCAGTTACCTGCTACCGCCAGTTCTGGAATGGGGAGATGGGGCGGGAGCGGAGATTCCCCCTTCCCCAGGATGCAGCTTTTAAATAAATGGCTCCAATTTTGCCTTTTTCCCAGGGTTACCTGGACCAGGTAACTTTCGGAGCGTGCGGTGCTGCTAATTCCAACCTTAAGACAGGAATGATGGAAAAAGGGGTTTTATTTAAATAGCAGCCACAAGGGAAGAGCAGCTGAGGAAGTGGGGTAGCTGCATCAGGCTAGGGAGGCTCAGATCTGTTTGCTGAAGCTTGCGGTTGTTGACCTGAGCAAACAACCCAGCACAGAGAATGGGAGCAAAAATAAGGCTTTTCGATGGCATGAAAGTAGCCCTGACAAGGAATTAGAAGATCCCTGATGCCAGGAGAAACTCAGAATGCCAACACAGAAATCGACTGACTAGGAGGCGAGATAAGCTCGGAGTGAAGCAGGTTGTGGAGCTCTGGGCTGGAGATGCAGCTCCAGAAGAGTAAAGCTTTGGCACCTTTTATTGGACTGACCCCAAGTAAGAGATTAAGCAAGAAACTCCCACGGGGTTCCTCTCTGCTCCGCTTTCCGTGACTGGAGGACGGGTTCTCTGAGGCTCTCCCCGTAACCTGATTCTCCTGGGAAGCGCTGGGACCTTCCTGTGGCGTCTTTCCCCTCGAAGGAGGGGGACCTCAGAGACGCAGGCTCCCCTCAGAGCCCGGCACTTCCTCCATAGGGATTACTGGGCCTGTCCCCCAACCCTCTGGCTGGGCTGGTTCCCCTCGCAGACCTCTCGGCTCTGCTAAACAGGGGGGTGGGGGGTCTAGCTTGCCTCCTCGAGTGGCCCGCCACTATTTCTCCAAAGTCTCACCCCCTAGACTGCAACCTCTTGGAGGCACTTTTTAGCGAGGGAGTAGAGCAGATGAGAAGAAGCCTTGTCCCCCAGGAGGAGCGTCAGAACATCTGGGCCACCGATGACCTGCTTACGGAGAACCCGAAGGGCTCTAGCAGCTCTTGGCGGTTTTCAGAAGCCTCACCGGCTCTACCCCTTCGCCCTCTTCCCCAGCCAGTGGCTTAGCCAGTGGCTTGACAGGCAGGTGAAAGCATCTGGAGCAGGGTCGCTGGGGGCAGGAAGACTCCCCCGTCCTCCCACAAGGTCCAGTAGCGCATGGGGGCTTTGCAGCTGGAAGGCAGCCAGAGGAACTCCCTTGCTTCTCAGTGATGCCGAGCACACGGGTGGATGTTTATGTAGGTGGTAGGTGAGCCCAGAGGCCACGGTGCCTTGAACCCCAACAGCTCCTGCTCTGGGCTAAGGAGAGGGAGAGTAAAGCTTCCTGAGATTTCTGGGGTTGGATTCACACAACCCACGGGGCCAGGCCTGTTAACTTAGGTTTCCCTTTCCACGCTGCCATTCCATTCCAGGCCATCTGGTTAGTTTAGGGCTCAGTGAATTGCGCAAATCCAGAAAATGGGTTAATTCAGCAGCCAAGTCAAATATACAAGTATTGTGCAAATGTGGCCAGGGAGGCTAACTCTGGGGGACTGCACAAGAAGCTCCAGCGTTCATTCACACCAGCGCCTGCCATCGTATTCCTTGACATCAGTTCTGCTGACTCTTTGGGTGACGGACACAGTCAGGCTGAGCTCCCTCAGGACACGAAGACCTGGCCGCTGGGCCAGACCGTCCTTTTGGACGGTCACCTCTCTTTCTTCTAGGAACGGCCGCACCAGGCTCCACGTTCTTATTCTCCCACGGCATCTTCTGAAGGGAGATAATTGTCCACTTCCTAATTTGCACAATTTAAGCTTCCTCTGGAGCAGCAAACGGTAAGTGAAATCGGGGAAGGAACGCCACCTCCCCGCGCGTGGAGGCCCTGCAGACTGGCCCCGGCGTTGCAGCATCTGCTGCTGCTGCTGCTGCTGCTGCTGCTTCTCTACTAGCAACCTCGGGAAAGCGCGGGGGGATCTTGCCCAGCCAGTAAATCACAGGAGTCCTGGAGATCCAAGGAGGCCAACTGCAAGGAGGGGGCCCCAAAGAAGAAGGGGGGCTCGGTCTTCAGGGGACAAATGGCTCCAGCCCCCACCTGCCAAGACAAAGGAAACAGGCCTGGCCTCGCTCCTGTCCGGCGCCGACACGCATCTGCCCTCCCCCTGCCCTCCCCAGCCCAGGAGCAAGAGAGGGGGAAGGGCCCCCCGGCTGCCCTCCACCCAAAGCAGCCTTTCCCCCTAAGTCCATCCCCGTCCAAGGGCAGCCTCCGGGGGTGTCGGACCTGCTCTGCTTCACCACCCACAACTTCGGAGGGAAGGGAGGAGAGCGCTCGTGGGTGTGATGGGGAGTGGGGGAGGATGGGGAGTGCCCCTCCCCTCCGGCCATGGGCCAGCCATTTCTCCCCAGCCTCTGGTCTCCCTTCCCTGAGTTCTGCTCAGGCCCCTGACCATCCCCTTCCTGCCTCCGCTGACCCCACCTCTCCAGGCTTCCCACAAGGGGGAGGAGGAGGAGCAGGCAGAAGAAGGGCTGGCTTGTGCTTCTGTGCCAGTTCCTCTGTACTTGTCAGTTTCAGTCACTTCCTCTCCTCTCCTCCCTTCCCCTTGCAATAAGGGTCTGTTTCAGTTCTCAGGATCTGGCTGGCTCCCCCATCCTGGCAGGGTCTGCCTGAGATGCCCAGGCAGAGTCCTGAAGTGAGGCCATCCCTGTGCCCACTGCCGTGCCCGATGGCGGATGCTTTCCCTGTTGCTGACGACCTGCTGAAAGGGGAGGAAACCAGTCACCTTGCCTATCAGGAGGGGTGCACTCACAAACCAGGGCAGCACCGTGTGCCAGGGGCTCGGAAGAGATGCCCACGGGGATTAGCCAAAAACAGCAATTTGATGCCGGCGTTGTTTGGGGCCGACTGAAGGAGG